TGTGTACAGTTCTATTACGTTTAAACCATATAGAACAATAGTTAACCGTTTTGCAAAATTATTGCGTAAACTAATGCAACCTTTTTTTTGATATTTTACTTGATTTATGGTAAGTTGGACCGCCTCATCATTAGTGGAGTACTTAATTTATACATAATTATCTACATGCGTTGTTATAACAACAAATTCTGAAATAATTTATTATAGCAGAAAAGAAGCTACGTATAAGAACAGAAACGGCACCAAAATGTTCCTGTTGACTTAAACCGGCATCACCACCCCGGCTAAGTAAAGTTTAGAGGTACTGCGGTGAAATGTCGAAATGGTTCACTGGTTTGAATGCGTGGCTGACACACGAGTGGTCCCGTGTTCAATCTTAAGGCAGTGCGTTTGTCTTTTTTTTGCTAAAACAAAAATGCTGATATGCAAGTGAAAGAAAAAGTAGGGATAGAGCGAATATAAAGATAGGAGACGAGAAATTAGAAGAATTGGCTGATTTTAGGTATCTAGGAAGTCAGATAAGTCAGGACGGAAGGAGTAGTAGGGATATAAAGCAGAGGATGATATCACAGGGCCGAGTCGCCTTCAATAAAAAGAAGTCCTTTCTATGCTCGTGAGACTAAATTTATAAATTCGAAAAAGGTTGTTAAAGGTGGAGCGCGGCGCTGTACGGGTTCGAAACATGGACGGTGGGCGCTTCAGATGAGAAAAAGTTAGAAGCGTTCGAAATGTGGTGTTATAGGCGAATGATGAGGATACTGTGAATAGAGAACGTTAGAAATGAAGAGATAATAAAAAAAATAGGAGAACAGAGGACATGGAAACCAATAAGAAATAGGCGAGATAGGTTGGTAGGACACCTTATCAGGCATGAAGGTCTAGTCAGACATATTAGAGGCAGAAACGGGAGTTAGAAGGGGTAGAGGTAGACCTAGATTTGATTACTGTTCGCAAATAGTTAAGGATGTGAGCTATTCTAGTTCTAGTTAGGGAAATGCGAAGATTAGCTCAGGATAGGAACGAGTGGAGGTACGTGTCCAACCAGTCTTAGGACTGACGACCTTATGATGATGATGAAGTTATTGTTATCTTACGTTTCGTCATTTTTATCGTAATATTCCACTGGGAAAAGTAATCACGTTCCCCCGCAACGAGCAGCCTCTGTACGGTCATTAGCGCTAGTTAACAAAACTGAGAGAGATATCGTTCCGCTGGCGGTTGCTGGGGCTTCGCTTCGCTTAAATAGGAATAGGTATTGTGGGTTATCGCTATCGGTTGCCTTGCCTTGAAAACCGCCGCTATAACCGAGACCCGCTCGACACTCATTCAAGTTAAACGTACCGTGCAATACACATAGCCGCTAAATACTACTGTATTGTCGTTATTTATTTAGTTCGGCATACATAACTATATAGACATATAATTAGTGTACATAGGTAGGACATTTCCGCACTTTTCGATCACGTGGCAAGCACGCCGTTTGTTCATTTCGTAAATACAACCAACTACATAGTAGTAAAGTAATAATAAAAACGTTCGCCAATTTCTCAGCCGAACCAATCTGAAAATGTCCGTCCGTGCAACAAACGCTCGAAACTCTCTGCAACAGTCAACGACAACGAGTTAATATTTTCGGTCAATAAGTTAAAACGCCGGTCGGCCGATCCAATCGTATTTGCGCGGGATTTTTCTTTTATATAAGTACGTTTCGGCCTCCTGTGGATACTACATATATATTTTAGTAGTCGACCGACGCCGACCGTAAGACACGTGTGCGTGTGTGTTTGTGGTAACCTCAAAAAATTTATTTCGGAGCTGTCGTCGGAACGATCAATGAACGGCAACACAAACCACGTTGTTGAACCAGCAGAGGGACGAAGTACACGAAACGGTTACATTGCCGTTTTTCAACCAGGCATCGACGATCAGCCGAATACTGAGAAGAGGAAGGGTAAGTCTCCTTTGACGTCGTCAACCCCTTCGATTAATACGACACTCCGCAAAAGCGAGCCGGAGCTATTTTAAACCTCACGACTGGTCAAATTAAAAATATCGTGGATGCGTCTATTTCGCCGTTACTAGTACGATTTTGCTTTCTTTTGATGCCTGGCTAATTATTAATTTAATTATTCGTCGTTTATGCAGTACATATATGTAGGTGTCATTAGTGTAATCAACAATCAAATGTATATCTGAGCTCGAATTAATAGGAATGGGAGCTGACAATGTATACCGAATCGCTTACGAGCTTACCTCATCCGAGTATCACGTGTCAGTTTGCCGCCAATATTTTATAGCTAAAGCTTGATTTTCACTATCGTCGAGTAGACGGCAGGCAGCCGCCCGACAGATGTCCGTCACAATATTCGTGTGTCACAGGTAGCCCACGGCTAGCCAACGCTTGTCGGTGACCGATATTGCAGAAGAGAGAGAGTAGGGACTTTGACGTGACGATACCAGCAGTTGCTGATAATAAAAGTACATTCAATTCAACAGAGGGAGGGTATTTTATTACGTAAAATGGATGTGCGAAAAATTAATTGTTTTAGTCGTGATCACTTATTCCATTTAAATCAAAAAAATTATAGCAATAGGAATGTAAAAGAATTCCATTTTCCTTGTTTCGTTTTTCTTTTTCATTTTCTTATCATCTTCAAGTAAATGAGCAATAATTGCTAAATCAATAAGCGAATAATTTTTAAACATCGCGACAAAAACATGCTAATAAGTCCAAAATTTGTCAAAAGACTGACAGTCAGCTGCTGTATAATGAATGTNAACATATTTATTTAAAAACCGGTGACTTTGATGGTGCTTCAAATTGTAATTGTAAATAGTAATGAAAGAAAGATGTAATCATGTTTAAAACATTAGAAATTATTAATAATACACAGTTAAAATCGGTACTATCGATATTCTGTTCACACGAAAGATACGAAATATTCACTGCTATTTCCTGTTAAGGCGGAAGTGGCACCCAATTTCGTCATTCGATTTAAATAGCTTTATCAATAGGATAGTTTATGTTAGGTTATCGGGTTTTGTTCAAGTGACCATCCTCTTCCGATCCCCACCTCCACCCCCTTGAAAATACCTATTTTATTGAATTTTATTTGAATTATAGTGTATGAAAATTGTCAAAATAATCAACTTTCAACCCCCGTAACTTTTTATGGGGGTGAGACCGCTGCAAATTTTTTATGGGGTTTCACTCAGGTGACCACCCTCTTTCGATTCCTCCCCCCTCCGAAGGGGGTGGGGGCCATCATCTAGACCTTTACCCAGTTTCCATACAGTAATTAAGAAAAGATACAATTTATTTACCACACGTGTACCATTGTTCATAAATAATGGAATGTTCCTCGTATAAAAATAAACAACTGCTGCAACGAGCATGTGCACCTGAACGCATGCTGAATTGTTTCTGGTCAAAGTCTGGTCACTTGATTGGGCGTAATTGAATAAACAGATCGAGTGGTGTTCCGAGAAATTACAAATTACTACTGTTTTTCTTCTCTGATATCGAATGTCGTAAGTTTATAAAATCACGGAGACTTAACAACGTCATGTCGTGATGGTTCATGTAGTATGCGAAATGTATTATCATCGACGTTAATTACACATGTTTGTTGATAATAACGAGTGCGGCAATTACTCAGCCATTTTTATTGTTCGTTCATTTTTGAATGGATACGAATAACAATATGTTGTAGGATGTTTACGTTTAAAGTAAGTTGTGTACAATAGGGAACCAAACACACAAAGAACGACATCATTTTTTTGAAAAATGCGATGTGTTAAATTTATCTTCAGTCATCTTTTCATATAAATAATAAAGTAATATACATACAAACATAAGTCCAATAAATACAATTTAAAGTTTTTGAGGAAATGCTACGCTTTATTCAAATTATTTTGAGAATTCCGTTAGTTCATTCTCCTCTCCCGACTTAACGTCTCCTATATCAACCAGCACTTTTAGCCTTTAACGATGTTTGGGAGGTATGTCAAAATGCTACGAGACAAATAAAAATTTGGAAGAACGTTCCTCATTCACTTCTAAAACTACTGTAAAAATTACAAATCGATTCACTGAACCGTTAAAACGTTATTGAAATTTTAAAAAATTGTAATTTTACACGTCATTTTATGGAGATTCGTTAACCGAACAGATTAAATTNAAAATGGAAGCGGTACTGACAGATCAGTACTGTATGAAAATAAATAAAAGTAAAACTAAAATACTGATATGCAAGGGAAGAAAAAGTAGGGAAAGAGCGAATATAAAGATAGGAGACGAAAAATTAGAAGAAGTGGCTGATTTTAGGTATCTAGGAAGTCAGATAAGTCAGGACGGAAGGAGTAGTAGGGATATAAAGCAGAGGATGATATCACAGGGCCGAGTCGCCTTCAATAAAAAGAAGTCCTTTCTATGCTCGTGAGACTAAATTTATAAATTCGAAAAAGGTTGTTAAAGGTGGAGCGCGGCGCTGTACGGGTTCGAAACATGGACGGTGGGCGCTTCAGATGAGAAAAAGTTAGAAGCGTTCGAAATGTGGTGTTATAGGCGAATGATGAGGATACTGTGAATAGAGAACGTTAGAAATGAAGAGATAATAAAAAAAATAGGAGAACAGAGGACATGGAAACCAATAAGAAATAGGCGAGATAGGTTGGTAGGACACCTTATCAGGCATGAAGGTCTAGTCAGACATATTAGAGGCAGAAACGGGAGTTAGAAGGGGTAGAGGTAGACCTAGATTTGATTACTGTTCGCAAATAGTTAAGGATGTGAGCTATTCTAGTTCTAGTTAGGGAAATGCGAAGATTAGCTCAGGATAGGAACGAGTGGAGGTACGTGTCCAACCAGTCTTAGGACTGACGACCTTATGATGATGATGAAGTTATTGTTATCTTACGTTTCGTCATTTTTATCGTAATATTCCACTGGGAAAAGTAATCACGTTCCCCCGCAACGAGCAGCCTCTGTACGGTCATTAGCGCTAGTTAACAAAACTGAGAGAGATATCGTTCCGCTGGCGGTTGCTGGGGCTTCGCTTCGCTTAAATAGGAATAGGTATTGTGGGTTATCGCTATCGGTTGCCTTGCCTTGAAAACCGCCGCTATAACCGAGACCCGCTCGACACTCATTCAAGTTAAACGTACCGTGCAATACACATAGCCGCTAAATACTACTGTATTGTCGTTATTTATTTAGTTCGGCATACATAACTATATAGACATATAATTAGTGTACATAGGTAGGACATTTCCGCACTTTTCGATCACGTGGCAAGCACGCCGTTTGTTCATTTCGTAAATACAACCAACTACATAGTAGTAAAGTAATAATAAAAACGTTCGCCAATTTCTCAGCCGAACCAATCTGAAAATGTCCGTCCGTGCAACAAACGCTCGAAACTCTCTGCAACAGTCAACGACAACGAGTTAATATTTTCGGTCAATAAGTTAAAACGCCGGTCGGCCGATCCAATCGTATTTGCGCGGGATTTTTCTTTTATATAAGTACGTTTCGGCCTCCTGTGGATACTACATATATATTTTAGTAGTCGACCGACGCCGACCGTAAGACACGTGTGCGTGTGTGTTTGTGGTAACCTCAAAAAATTTATTTCGGAGCTGTCGTCGGAACGATCAATGAACGGCAACACAAACCACGTTGTTGAACCAGCAGAGGGACGAAGTACACGAAACGGTTACATTGCCGTTTTTCAACCAGGCATCGACGATCAGCCGAATACTGAGAAGAGGAAGGGTAAGTCTCCTTTGACGTCGTCAACCCCTTCGATTAATACGACACTCCGCAAAAGCGAGCCGGAGCTATTTTAAACCTCACGACTGGTCAAATTAAAAATATCGTGGATGCGTCTATTTCGCCGTTACTAGTACGATTTTGCTTTCTTTTGATGCCTGGCTAATTATTAATTTAATTATTCGTCGTTTATGCAGTACATATATGTAGGTGTCATTAGTGTAATCAACAATCAAATGTATATCTGAGCTCGAATTAATAGGAATGGGAGCTGACAATGTATACCGAATCGCTTACGAGCTTACCTCATCCGAGTATCACGTGTCAGTTTGCCGCCAATATTTTATAGCTAAAGCTTGATTTTCACTATCGTCGAGTAGACGGCAGGCAGCCGCCCGACAGATGTCCGTCACAATATTCGTGTGTCACAGGTAGCCCACGGCTAGCCAACGCTTGTCGGTGACCGATATTGCAGAAGAGAGAGAGTAGGGACTTTGACGTGACGATACCAGCAGTTGCTGATAATAAAAGTACATTCAATTCAACAGAGGGAGGGTATTTTATTACGTAAAATGGATGTGCGAAAAATTAATTGTTTTAGTCGTGATCACTTATTCCATTTAAATCAAAAAAATTATAGCAATAGGAATGTAAAAGAATTCCATTTTCCTTGTTTCGTTTTTCTTTTTCATTTTCTTATCATCTTCAAGTAAATGAGCAATAATTGCTAAATCAATAAGCGAATAATTTTTAAACATCGCGACAAAAACATGCTAATAAGTCCAAAATTTGTCAAAAGACTGACAGTCAGCTGCTGTATAATGAATGTGAAGACAACATAAAACTGGCGACTAATTAGTGGTTGGGTCCCGCATTCCAGACGCATGGTGAGAAAATCAGCCTTAATGCGTACAAAGGGGATGGAAAATCATATTAATATGAACCTACGCTTTTTCTCTTATAATTAATTTGTAGTTATGTCACCGGAAATGTATGAAATCTAGGAATTGTATACAATTTCGAGGCTATTTAGGAAATGTATAAAACATTGTATTAAGATTTTTAATACACACATATCCTGGGAAATGTATACATTTCCTAGGAATTGTATGAAATTTCGATATTGTATGAGGAAATTCATAAAATTAATGCTTTTTGTGAATAAAATGAATACAACATGTTTAATAAACTGAGAATAAGGGTTATCTCAGTTATCCCCGCGTATCTCGAATGTAATACATTTCCGACTGCTATTTAGAAAATGTATAGATTTCCTAGGAAATGTGTCTAATATAATTTGTTTCACACATTTCCGGGCGGTTTGGGAAAGTATATACATTTCCTAGGAATTGTACCTATATGACGGATTACACGCATTTCCGTTAACAGTTAACAGTACTACAAGTATATGTGTGCGTACTATGTTATTTTTGTACTTTTTTTAACTTGTCGATAGGTTTCTGAAAGATTTTCGGAAAATTTATTTGGTAGTTTTGACGCACAAAAATTTAATTTTTAAAAATAAATTCTTTATCCTCAAGGTACTCTATCAGTAATAAATGTATGTTATGACGACAAAACGCTACTGAACATAGAAATACATATTTCTTTGTCTACATTTTCTCCTTGTATGTCACACAAGTGAAAATGAAATAAAAAAATGTTTGGTAAATTTGTGGAGTATATTTTTTCAATTACATCTATCTGAAAATATCTACTGCTTCACTGACAACATCCTTAAAATAACCAAAATCTTTTGAACAATGTGCAACACCTCAAAGTACAAAACATCCCTATGCTGGATTCTCTGTTTGGCACTGCTGTATGTACTACTTTAGGCATTAATTTTAACCAACAAAGTTTCTTTTAACTATATAAGCTTCCTATAATTAAAAAACAATAGCACGAAAGGTAGCATTTACCTATTTACAATCGGAAATCAAGCGAATAAGTTTTAAACAGCCCTCATTTTAGTACAAAACTTATTATTACCCATTATGTAAAAGCAATTACATGGAGTTAGTAATGACCTCATTTAGTATTATTACTAGAAATATTATATGCTTGCAGTGTAGTTGATATGCACCAAACATATTTAAAATTTCTTTAAAAAAATATAATTATTTATGTGTCTGGTCTACAAAAAAGTCAAATCGAGTTTTGTGGATTTATGAACTATAAATAAAACGCTAAAACCCAATATTTGTTTTCGCGTTTCGTCAAAGACGATATCCTCAGGTAGAGAACGTACCGCGATTATCTTTGCTTAATTAGTACTTTAAACGTCAAACTTCTCAGGTGCATTTCTTTGCAATAATTGTTTAGTCCCATATCGAATACCCCAGTTAGGGATTTTTAATCAGATTGAAATTTGTCACTGATTTATTATCTACTTGACAACTTGACATGTGTTTCGGGTTTAGCCCATTATCTAGACGTCTAGAGTAATGTTACATTTCAAAATATTGTTTTGATTAATTAATTTATTAAAAGTCGCGTTTTTCAATATACGGGTCGCCGCCGAAAGCAGTTTAAATCTTTAAATGCCATTAAAAAATAACTAGCTTTATATTTTCTATGTTATGTAATTTAAACTTTAATAATTTTAATTTAAAAAAATCAATAATCTAGTAGTTTTAGGTGAGACGCTGGACGCTTGCTGGACATTTTGTGATGCCGGTATAAATATTCTACAATCCAACAAAAGTACAAAAAAAAATTACGTAAAACAGTTAAAATATACCAATAGAGGACTTTTTCAATTTAATTTCCACCTGTTAACAAACAAATTCGTTAATATGAATGTCGCTAGAGTGTAAGATTTGACCTTATTGAAATTTATCTTTTCCTCAATTAGAGTTATGGAATTTCTTGTAATTTGGCTCATTATAGGTACCACCTACTTACAATAAAGCGCACGCTACAAACAAAAATTTGGTTCAATCTAATGGAAATGATTATCTTTACTTAATAACCCAATTGATAACAGTAAATAAGCATTAACTTAAATTAGGAGCATTTTAGAGATTGGTGACGCATCCTACAAAAGTGCATGCATCAACGTCAATATCTTATTAGGGTTTAATTATCTTTATAGTATATTTAATACACGAACAGTTCCAATAAGTACGATCGTAAGAGATAAGCACTAATAAACTGAAATGTTAAAACAAAATCCGATTGCTAATTATGTAATTTAATTGACTAATTGTTAGTATTTTATGGGATAACTACAACTTTAGATCTTTCCGATCCTGTACAATGTACAGTTTTATAATTTGTGTACTTTAACAATGTCATAGATGTCTCAATTAATCTTACAAAATAAATTATTTAGTTTTGGTCCTTCGAGCCGGATAAATAAAACTATGCAATGTATTGCCAACATAAATGCAAAAATAATAAATTCAGAAATTTATTAATTTAATTAATTCATTTGTTAAGTGATGAGACTATTGTTTTATTTCAAGATATTAAAACAGTCAATTGTTTCAAAATATTATCGTAAAAGAATGCAGCGGAAAATAAGTTAAAAAAATCACAAGTTTATTTGCTAGAATATGGATCGAACTCTATCACTTGTGTATACGGTAAACATGAGGTCTAAAATTAGCAGGGACTGTAAGTCCCTCAAAATAACTTCAATAATTTATTACTTATCTGAATAAGTTACTCTACGAGGGTTATAATAAAAGTATTGCGCTGGGAGTCGACTTGACAGGGTTATCGAAATTTGCTGGCCTATTGACGTATGCACACTGTTAATTTGAATTAAAATTGCAAGTTACTGATAACAAAGTAAAATATTTATAAAATTCAGAATTAGTATTTGGTAAATTTTTTGATCTGGTTCAAGTTTAAAGGCAAAAATATTTTCTTAAAATTATTTTAGGAATTGTCGATTATCTCAAATTTAACAAAAACAAAATTCCGTTTGAAAAAATATAATTTTTTTCATTTTTCAGTTGATAAGATTATTGTGGAGAGCTACATAGTAATAGATATTAGAGGGCGCTGGGCTAAATTGAAACGGAGACGTGATTCTTTATCTTCGCAGACCGAGCGGCATGGCCTAGAGGTCTAGACCATTGCTTAGCATTCGGGAGGACGCCGGTTCGATTCCGGGTCTGTCCGTCTGCCTTGGTCCAAGTTTTTCTGTGGTTTCCTTGGATNTCGCGAATTTTTTACAGTGTACGAACGTAAACAATTAATGTTTTATTTTGTTTAATCTAATACATTTGTAACATATTATACATAAATTTTATTTTTCTTCACTCTAAATTTTAATTATGCCAAAACTCATACTCTCCCCAGACAGCTGGCCAATATGAATGCTGACTGAATTATGTAGATAGCTTTATTAATTACGTAATTACTTATCCAGACGTTCTTTTTTTGTTTTTTACTGATTTTGTTAGGTAGGTATCTATGTCTTCCTTTTATAACTTTACTAAACTTTCGACTAAACTTTCGTGACTTTTTCGTAACTTCATGTAGTTCGGTATACAATTAACTAATTGTAGTATTTATTATTTATTACTAGATAATTTGTAAAATAGCTAGACTGTTTGATTAATTCTACCCTAATAATCACTATGTCTACATTAGGTAGATATTTTACGTAATCGCTAGATAGTATTATTAATATGCTGATTAATTACCTTGGCTGTAACAATGCTTATTACTTCAATTAACTCCAACTTAATTATCTTTTTTTTAATTGAAAAACCGTTATCAAACTGTTATTTAAAGTGATATCATAATTTTGTAAATCGCATTTCAGTTAAATTCGGAACAAATGAATTTCTGAAATAATCGACAACTTCTGTTATCTTATTTTATTACATACAAAAAAATAAACACTTATTATCACGGTCGGCGCCTTAAAATGACGTCTGTTTCTATCAAATTGATAAAAAATCAAATTATAAAATTTTCATTTTGAAAAATCGACCAAGACGTTCAATGCACCAGAATGTACTGCTTCTGAATATTGCAACATA